GTCTCTCACATTCTGTAAACAGGCCCCTCTGGCCCTCCTGTCAGTAGTTCACGTGTGCATGGCTACATCAGTAACATCTGAATCCCTCCTCCTCCTCCTCCTCCTCCTCCTCCTCCTCCTCTTCCTTCCCCCAACCCAAAGCTCCAGTCTTTAGCCCACTAAGTGAGCTGGCTGACATCTCCTATGAGGGGAGCTATACATCATCGATGTGTTTTGTTACAGATACAGATTTTAGTCCCAAATGGCACCCTATTCCCTATATTGACCAAAGTAGTACACTATATACAGTGGGGAAAAAAAGTATTTAGTCAGCCACCAATTGTGCAAGTTCTCCCACTTAAAAAGATGAGAGAGGCCTGTAATTGTCATCATAGGTACACGTCAACTATGACAGACAAATTGAGAAAACAAAATCCAGAAAATCACATTGTAGGATTTTTAATGAATTTATTTGCAAATTATGGTGGAAAATAAGTATTTGGTCACCTACAAACAAGCAAGATTTCTGGCTCTCACAGGCCTGTAACTTCTTCTTTAAGAGGCTCCTCTGTCCTCCACTCGTTACCTGTATTAATGGCACCTGTTTGAACTTGTTATCAGTATAAAAGACACCTGTCCACAACCTCAAACAGTCACACTCCAAACTCCACTATGGCCAAGACCAAAGAGCTGTCAAAGGACACCAGAAACAAAATTGTAGACCTGCACCAGGCTGGGAAGACTGAATCTGCAATAGGTAAGCAGCTTGGTTTGAAGAAATCAACTGTGGGAGCAATTATTAGGAAATGGAAGACATACAAGACCACTGATAATCTCCCTCGATCTGGGGCTCCACGCAAGATCTCACCCCGTGGGGTCAAAATGATCACAAGAACGGTGAGCAAAAATCCCAGAACCACACGGGGGGACCTATTGAATGACCTGCAGAGAGCTGGGACCAAAGTAACAAAGCCTACCATCAGTAACACACTACGCCGCCAGGGACTCAAATCCTGCAGTGAAAGACGTGTCCCCCTGCTTAAGCCAGTACATGTCCAGGCCCGTCTGAAGTTTGCTAGAGTGCATTTGGATGATCCAGAAGAGGATTGGGAGAATGTCATATGGTCAGATGAAACTAAAATAGAACTTTTTGGTCAAAACTCAACTCGTCGTGTTTGGAGGACAAAGAATGCTGAGTTGCATCCAAAGAACACCATACCTACTGTGAAGCATGGGGGTGGAAACATCATGCTTTGGGGCTGTTTTTCTGCAAAGGGACCAGGATGACTGATCTGTGTAAAGGAAAGAATGAATGGGGCCATGTATCGTGATATTTTGAGTGAAAACCTCCTTCCATCAGCAAGGGCATTGAAGATGAAACGTGGCTGGGTCTTTCAGCATGACAATGATCCCAAACACACCGCCCGGGCAACGAAGGAGTGGCTTCGTAAGAAGCATTTCAAGGTCCTGGAGTGGCCTAGCCAGTCTCCAGATCTCAAGCCCATAGAAAATCTTTGGAGGGAGTTGAAAGTCCGTGTTGCCCAGCGACAGCCCCAAAACATCACTGCTCTAGAGGAGATCTGCATGGAGGAATGGGCCAAAATAGCAGCAACTGTGTGTGAAAACCTTGTGAAGACTTACAGAAAATGTTTGACCTGTGTCATTGCCAACAAAGGGTATATAACAAAGTATTGAGCAACTTTTGTTATTGACCAAATACTTATTTCCACCATAATTTGCAAATAAATTCATTAAAAATCCTACAATGTGATTTTCTGGAAAACATTTTTCTCATTTTGTCTGTCATAGTTGACGTGTACCTATGATGAAAATTACAGGCCTCTCTGATCTTTTTAAGTGGGAGAACTTGCACAATTGGTGGCTGACTAAATACTTTTTTCCCCCACTGTTGGAAATAGGGTGCCATTTGGGTGGGAACCAGGGGGTTCCCCCGAGGGGACACATCTCTCTGATCCACACTGCTTTAATGATATTAAGGTGAATCGTAGCTGTTGCAAAACAATGGCTCAATACACCGGGCCATGAGATGTGGGATGCGGAGTCAAGTACTACAGCTCATCGTTGTTGCTATCGAGAGGCTGCTCTTGACCAAATTATTTTCCCTAAATATAATTATTCCTCAGAATATGATAATGCCCTGGATGTCAGCACAGCACCAGTACACTATTCTATCATTATTGATTTGTTGTATTGATAACTCATATGTAGATATAGATTGGTATTCCAGACTGTGTTGTTGGTTTGCTGTAAGGACCATTAGAGCCAGACTTTAAGGCTATAAACCAGAGAGTCGGGTGGCTGTGTCTGGCTGGAGATGTTGAATTGAGCCTGGAATTCTCTAGGGGAACATTCTAATTCCTGGTATTCCGTATAATCCGAGGTTGGCTCACGTTCCCGAGGCCACACCTGATGATGCGAAGCTAGGTAGCACCGGCAAGTTTTTTCGTGCTGACAGCTCAGTGGCTGATATGTTAAAGCTTAGTGTCTTATTGAATATTACGCTCCAGAAACATACACCAAAGTAAAAAGGGGGGTAGTGGTGTGTGTGTGTGTGTGTGTGTGTGTGTGTGTGTGTGTGTGTGTGTGCATTCGCGCTTGTGGTTGTGGGCGATGTGCTTTTTTCCATTGGTTTCCCTAGTCTCTCCCTAACACAAGGTCAATGTGATCAGTCATCTTCATCTCCATCTTACCTGTCCAGCACTAGGCCAGCGGATGAATATGTTAGCCTGAGGTGGAAAAGAGTCTATCCCTTCTAGGGCCTGTATCTACTCTGCTCTCCCATTTCTCTCTCCAATACCCTCTATTCTGCTGCCCCATTGTATCCCATCCCACACGTTTAAATGTCTCTGTCCTCTTTACTGTTCCTGGTCTTGGATTGGAGATGAGATACAGTACCTAGATCTCATCAGAGATGTATGTTGACATTAGGGCCATATGCCACACTGTGCAGCGTGAGTGGGTGGTTGTGTGTTTCTGTTACTATGGCTGCGTTTAGACAGGCAGCCCAATTCTGATATTTTTTCACTAATTGGTCTTGATCAGATCAGCTCTTTTGCCAATAACTATGTGCACTACAGTATGTTCTTGATTGGCTAATAAGCCACGTTCCCTACTATAGTTCCAGTCGCACTTTTCTACCAGTAGCAATCACTGAACCCTGGTCTCTCAGACAGACCTGACCTCAGTCAGTCAGAATCCAGTCAGGTACCAGTGTCTTAGCAGACTGTTGTCCCATTGGGAGCCAAGCTCAGACAATAATCTCCTATCCCGCTGTTTACAGCAAACATAACCCTTCTGACCCAGCTCTCTACTGGCTAGAGAAATAGCTATTCATCTATTCTCTTCAGCTCAGCTCAAGGTGCTTGCTAGAGGATTTATCTATGAGAAATATATCAGAGAGTGAAATGCTACTGTAAAGCCGGTATAATATGATACTAGTTTTTCTTACAAGACAAAATAGCATCAACAGTGTTTGCATTTTCATTCATGTATCTGTACATTTAAACATTCAACCAAAATTAAACCTGAATGAAAATCTCGCTAAATTGAACCTGATTTAAATTACTCTTCCTGCTCAACTGTCAGTCAATAAACAGACAGGGGGAGGGTAAACACCTGAACCTCTAATTTCCTCTTGTTTATTTGTTGACTTAATTACTCTGATCGGAGTGGAGATCATTCGTTTGCAGCCGCAAAATTAGCAGCAAATACACTTGGCTATTATTATAATTAGCCCCAGTGGCGCAGTGCGTGGTAGCTGGTGTTGGGGAGAGACTGAAGTGGTAGGAGGATGACACACACACACACACACACACACACACACACACACACACACACACACACACACACACACACACACACACACACACACACACACACTGGGAAGTGAAGTGCTACTGTAGGACAAGAATGCCCTTTTCCCCACAACACATGAATCAAAGGGAGTCAGTCCAGTGTGGAAATGTGATATCACTGTTGGGGATGGCTGGAGTATTTCACTGTGGGTGTTACACACCAAACTCCACAGAGCCTGGGCAGGTGAAAAGTCTAAAGTGGCATTTATCATCAACCGTGAACAATACCCAGTCAGCAGTGTGTGTCCTACAGTACATTGGAAGTGTAAGGCTGTACATTGACGATTACACCATGTGCATCAGTTTTAGCATTATTTGTATAACTACGCATTTTACGTGCATGTCTTCATGCAAGTCTTATACCAGTATGTGTGTGCCTCTGTGAGTGAATGTGTGTCTGCATTCGTCCATGCCTGCGTGTGTGTGTCTGCGATTGTGTATGTGTTTAACTGTGTGTGTATAGATTCCCTCATTGCAGTGCACAGCATTATAAACAATCCTCTATATAAAAACGCCATAAAACTCAATAGCTCCACATCTCCTCGGGACAGTTATCCCTTTAGTTTAGCTGACCCTATTAAGGCAGGGCCAGCCGCTTACCACGGCATACTAACAGTAATTTAGTCTGTGCTGCCACTACACAGAGCCAGGGCCAAGCATGAGGCCATCTGGGCAACCAGGAAATCAATGAGGTTAGAGGTAGACACAGATAAGTTATAGAGACTCCATTCAGAGCCTGTCTGTGTCTCTCTCTCTCTCTCAGACACATACAGTAGAGTACAGAGGCTAGCTCTCTTTAGCATGGGTGTATGGCTGTGTGCCCTAGAGTCGCCATGGCTGGAGGTGTAGTTCAGACCAGGTGCCTAGACCATGATTGCGTTTCTCATCTCTTTTCTCATACTCTGTACCGGATGTGATCTTACAGCTAACCCTTTTACCTCCCACTCTCATTCTGTTACGCAATCTGTGAGAAGAAGTTCTTCCTTCTTACTGGTCTGTGCATTTAGATCTGTTTCATGATAGATCATGGTTTCTCTTCATAATTGTATCTTGGTATCCTGTCATCACATCACACTCTTCGGTGTTTAGACCTCTAACTCATCCCCCTCTCTCTTTCTCTCTGTTTTCCCTCTCCTCCCTCCAGACTCCAAGGCCTGCCCCGCCAAGGAGTTCCAGTGCCGTAACAGGAAATGCGTGGCGCCCATCTTTGTGTGCGACGGCGACGACGACTGCGGGGATGGGAGTGATGAGGAGAAGTGTTCCACCCCCACTTGCGGCCCCCATGAGTTCCGCTGTAACAACTCGGAGTGCATCCCGGCCCTGTGGAGCTGTGATGGGGACCCGGACTGCGGGGATAAGTCTGATGAGTCTATGGAGCGCTGTAGTCGCCGGAAGGAGCCCCAGAAGCCCCGGTGCCCCGAGGGGGAGTTTCAGTGCGGCAGTGGAGAGTGTGTCCACCTCAACTGGAAATGTGATGGAGACGCAGACTGCAAGGACAAGTCTGATGAGGCTGACTGCGGTAAGTCATCTACTGTATTTGGGCTTGGGTCACCTGGGGATGCACACAGGATGTGGTCGTACATATATACAGTACCGTGAAAAACTATTTGCCCCCTTCTGATTTTCTCTATTCTTGCATAATTTTTTAATATGTTTTGAATGTTATCAGATCTTCAACCAAAACCTAATATTAGATAAAGGGAACTGAGTGAACAAATAACACAAAATGTTTGTACTTATTTATTTAATAAACAAAGTTATGCAACACCCAATGACCCTGTGTAGTAAGTAAGTAATTGTCCCCTTGGAATGCAGTGTTTGGTTTTCGACATACATAACGGGACCCATGTCATCCAAACAGTAGACTCAAGTTTGCCAAAAAGCTTAGAATGACTTCTATGTAAACATCACTATATCGATGTACAATCAATATATGTGGATATATGTGGATGGATTTGTGAGTGGCGTAGTGGTCTTAGGCACTGCATCGCAGTGCTAGCTGTGCCACTAGAGATCCTGGTTCGAATCCAGGCTCTGTCGTAGCCGTCCGCGACCGGGAGACCCATGGGGCGGCGCACAATTGGCCCAGCGTCGTCCAGGGTAGGGGAGGGAATGGCCGGCAGGGATGTAGCTCAGTTGGTAGAGCATGGCGTTTGCAACGCCAGGGTTGTGGGTTCGATTCCCACGGGGGGCCAGTATGAAAAAATAAATAATGTATGCACTCACTAAACTGTAAGTCACTCTGGATAAGAGCGTCTGCTAAAAAATTACAACAACAAAAAAAATAAGCGTTGTGTGTGTTTGAGCATCTTTATCTGTGCGTGCCTGTGTGTATGCAGCAGGTTGACGTTTATTGTCACAAATCTTGCCCTGGAGGCAAAACTGAGCAATTTCCGCTAGATGGGCCAGCTGCAAAGTCAAAATTGGCTATATTGTAACAATTCATGAAAACAAACATTTGCTTTTGTATTACTTTGTGGCTGTGCTAGCTAGTGACCACTGCAGAGCTGCCTCCAGAGCAAGATTCAGGACGAGAAATGCTAACCTGCGTGTATGCATGGATGATGTGGTATCAAAGGCCAGCTGAGACTTCTGTTATGGTGCCCGGTGATAATAAGCTCCACGCTGGAAACACCACGGCAATCAGTTGAGTTGGTTGCCATGCAACAGTGTGACGATTGGAACAGTGGAGAGCCCTTGAGAGGGAGTGAGGCTACTCACAACCTGGCTCTCTCTCCCTGAGTAACACACTGTTCTCAACCCCAGAGACCACTCAATAATAACACGCTGATCACAAAGACAGGGATGAAATCAGCAGGGTTTCAGACTTTTTAAATTATTTTGGTGTTGGAGCATACCTTAATGATCAAAATCAATATCGTTATCAAAACGTAATACATAGTGCTATCATGGGTACTGTATATTTAGAAGTTATACTGCCTGGTCCAGAAACAATGTGTGTGCTGTATTATCATTAGCTGAGCTCAGATCCCAATCACTGGACTGATAGCATCAGCACATTATGATACACTAGGATTATGCTGGTTATGCTGGTTTTAACATCAAGGGGGTCTTTGTTTTTATTGGAGTGTGAAGCATTGTGTTTGGGGAGGCTTTTCAGCGAGTGTGTGTGTGTGTGTGTGTGTGTGTGTGTGTGTGTGTGTGTGTGTGTGTGTGTGTGTGTGTGTGTGTGTGTGCATGTGTGTGTGTGCCTCCCGTCTTGTCCTATGGTGTACATTACATCTCCAAAGTGCATACCATGAATAATTAAAGCAGCAGTTAAAGAGATGAATGGGTAAAATAAACCTTCCCCTATACTACTGCTAGAACAGCACAGCACACACACACACACACACACACACACACACACACACACACACACACACACACACACACACAGAGCACAAACAACAGAACAAAGCAGAGCAGAGGAGTCTTGGGTGTGTGTTTTACCCAGACAGTGAGTAAATACCTCCCAGCTTCTCATTTCCACAGCATTTCTCTGGTGCAGAGGGAAACAGGGGGAGTAGGGGTGAGTTGTATGTATGAGTGATTACTGGTGAATTGAAATGCACTCTGTTTTGGCCCAAACCCAAGATGAAACACACACTTTTTCACTGGGGTAATTTCATCTTTGAAAGGATACCGTGTTGGGGTTGGATCTCTAGAGAGATAGAGAGAAAGTTGGATGATGCCCTGGTGAATTAACTGTGTGTGTGTATGCTCTGTGTTCATTTTTTTTTTCTCACTCTCTCCCGCTCTCTCTCTCTCGCTCTGTGTCTGTGTGTGTTCTATCTTGCACAGCTCTGCTGACCTGCCGTCCAGATGAGTTCCAGTGTGGTGATGGATCCTGTATTCATGGCACCAAGCAGTGTAACGGGGTCCATGACTGTCCTGACTTCAGTGATGAGGCTGGCTGTATCAACGGTGGGTTGGCCTTACTGACCATCCCGTCTTCCCCTTTGTCTTCCTCCATGCCCAGTAGTACTCCCCTTACTGTCTCTCTAGGTCCCCAAGAACACAGTGGCCTCCATCCTTCTTAAATGGAAGAAGTTTGGAACCTCCAAGACTCTTCCTAGAGCTGGCCACCCGGCCAAACTGAGCAATCGGGGGAGAAGGGCCTTGGTCAGGGAGGTGACCAAGAACCTGATGGTCACTCTGACTGAGCTCCAGAGTTCCTCTATGGAGATGGGAGAACTTTCCTGAAGGACAACCATCTCTGCAGCACTCTACCAATCAGGCCTTTATGGTAGAGTGGCCAGATGGAAGCCATTCCTCAGTAAAAGGCACATGACAGCCTACTTGGAGTTTGCCAAAAGGCACCTAAAGACTCTCAGACCATGAGAAACAAGATTCTCTGGTCTGATGAAACCAAGATTGAACTCTTTGGCCTGAATTCCTAATGTCACGTCTGGAGGAAACCTGGCACCATCCCTACGGTGAAGCATGGTGGTGGCAGCATCATGCTGTGGGGATGTTTTTCAGTGGCAGGGACTGGGAGACTAGTCAAGATCGAGGGAAAGATGATCTGAGCAAAGTACAGAGAGAACCTTAATGAAAACCTGCTAACAGGACAACGACCCTAAGCACACAGCCAAGACAATGCGGGAGTGGCTTCGGGACAAGTCTCTGTAGGTCCTTGAGTGGCCGAGCCAGAGCCCTGACTTGAACCCGATCTAACATCTCTGGAAAGACCTGAAAATAGCTGTGCAGTGACGCTCCCCATCCAACCTGACAGAGCATGAGAGGATCTGCAGAAAATAATAGGAGAAACTCCCCAAATACAGGTGTGCCAAGCTTGTAGGGTCATACCCAAGACGACTCAAGGCTGCAATCGCTGCCAAAGGTGCTTCAAGAAAGTACTGAGTAAAGGGTCTGAATACTAATGTGAATGTGATATTTCAGTATTCAATTTTTAATAAATTAGCAAATAATTCGAAAATAAAGTTTTTGCTTTGTCATTATGGGGTATTGTTTGTAGATTGATGAGGGAAAAAAACAATTTAATCAATTTTAGAATAAGGCTAAAAACTTAACAAAATGTGGAAAAAGTCAACGGGTCTGAATACATTCTGAATACATACACATAAACACACATACATATACAGTGGGGAAAAAAAGTATTTAGTCAGCCACCAATTGTGCAAGTTCTCCCACTTAAAAAGATGAGAGAGGCCTGTAATTTTCATCATAGGTACACGTCAACTATGACAGACAAATTGAGAAAAAAAATCCAGAAAATCACATTGTTGGATTTTTAATGAATTTATTTGCAAATTATGGTGGAAAATAAGTATTTGGTCACCTACAAACAAGCAAGATTTCTGTCTCTCACACACCTGTAAACACCTTAAGAGGCTCCTCTGTCCTCCACTCGTTACCTGTATTAATGGCACCTGTTTGAACTTGTTATCAGTATAAAAGACACCTGTCCACAACCTCAAACAGTCACACTCCAAACTCCACTATGGCCAAGACCAAAGAGCTGTCAAAGGACACCAGAAACAAAATTGTAGACCTGCACCAGGCTGGGAAGACTGAATCTGCAATAGGTAAGCAGCTTGGTTTGAAGAAATCAACTGTGGGAGCAATTATTAGGAAATGGAAGACATACAAGACCACTGATAATCTCCCTCGATCTGGGGCTCCATGCAAGATCTCACCCCGTGGGGTCAAAATGATCACAAGAACGGTGAGCAAAAATCCCAGAACCACACGGGGGGACCTAGTGAATGACCTGTAGAGAGCTGGGACCAAAGTAACAAAGCCTACCATCAGTAACACACTACGCCGCCAGGGACTCAAATCCTGCAGTGCAAGACGTGTCCCCCTGCTTAAGCCAGTACATGTCCAGGCCCGTCTGAAGTTTGCTAGAGTGCATTTGGATGATGCAGAAGAGGATTGGGAGAATGTCATATGGTCAGATGAAACCAAAATAGAACATTTTGGTAAAAACTCAACTCGTCATGTTTGGAGGACAAAGAATGCTGAGTTGCATCCAAAGAACACCATACCTACTGTGAAGCATGGGGGTGGAAACATCATGCTTTGGGGCTGTTTTTCTGCAAAGGGACCAGGACGACTGATCCGTGTAAAGGAAAGAATGAATGGGGCCATGTATCGTGAGATTTTGAGTGAAAACCTCCTTCCATCAGCAAGGGCATTGAAGATTAAATGTGGCTGGGTCTTTCAGCATGACAATGATCCCAAACACACCGCCCGGGCAACGAAGGAGTGGCTTCGTAAGAAGCATTTCAAGGTCCTGGAGTGGCCTAGCCAGTCTCCAGATCTCAAGCCCATAGAAAATCTTTGGAGGGAGTTGAAAGTCTGTGTTGCCCAGCGACAGCCCCAAAACATCACTGCTCTAGAGGAGATCTGCATGGAGGAATGGGCCAAAATACCAGCAACAGTGTGTGAAAACCTTGTGAAGACTTACAGAAAACGTTTGACCTGTGTCATTGCCAACAAAGGGTATATAACAAAGTATTGAGAAACTTTTGTTATTGACCAAATACTTATTTTCCACCATAATTTGCAAATAAATTCATTAAAAATCCTACAATGTGATTTTCTGGAGAAAAAAAAATCTCATTTTGTCTGTCATAGTTGACGTGTACCTATGATGAAAATTACAGGCCTCTCTGATCTTTTTAAGTGGGAGAACTTGCACAATTGGTGGCTGACTAAATACTTTTTTCCCCCACTGTTGGAAATAGGGTGCCATTTGGGTGGGAACCAGGGGGTTCCCCCGAGGGGACACATCTCTCTGATCCACACTGCTTTAATGATATTAAGGTGAATCGTAGCTGTTGCAAAACAATGGCTCAATACACCGGGCCATGAGATGTGGGATGCGGAGTCAAGTACTACAGCTCATCGTTGTTGCTATCGAGAGGCTGCTCTTGACCAAATAATTTTCCCTAAATATAATTATTCCTCAGAATATGATAATGCCCTGGATGTCAGCACAGCACCCGTACACTATTCTATCATTATTGACCTGTGTCAACTATTGACCTGTGTCATTGCCAACAAAGGGTATATAACAAAGTATTGAGAAACTTTTGTTATTGACCAAATAAATACTTATTTTCCACCATAATTTGCAAATAAATTCATTAAAAATCCTACAATGTGATGTTCTGGATTTTTTTTTCTCATTTTGTCTGTCATAGTTGACCTGTACCTATGATGAAAATTACAGGCCTCTCTCATCTTTTTAAGTGGGAGAACTTGCACAATTGGTGGCTCACTAAATACTTTTTTCCCCACTGTATAAATACACAGTACCAGTAAAAAGTTTGGTTTTCTACATTGTAGAATAATAGTTAAGACATCAAAACTATGAAATAACACATAAGGAATCATTTAGTAACCAAATAAGTGTTAAACAAATCAATATTTTAGATTTTAGATTCTTCAAAGTAGCCACCCTTTGCCTTGATGACAGCTTGGCATTTTGTCAACCAGCTTCACTTGGAATGCTTTTCCAACAGTCTTAAAGGAGTTCCCACATATGCTGAGCACTTGTTGGCTGCTTTTCCTTCACTCTGTGGTCCAACTCATCCCAAACCATCTCAATTCTGTTGAGGTCGGGTGATTGTGGAGGCCAGGTCATCTGATGCAGCACTCCATAACTCTCCTTGTTGGTCAAATAGCCCTTACACAGCCTGGAGGTGTGTTTGGTCATTGTCCTGTTGAAAAACAAATGATAGTCCCACTAAGCGCAAACCAGATGGGATGGTGTATCACTGCAGAATGCTGTGGTAGCCATGCTGGTTAAGTGTTCCTTTAATTCTAAATAAATCACAGATTTTGTCACCATTAAAGTACCACCACACCATCACACCTCCTCCTCTGTGCTTTACGGTGGGAACTACACATGGAGAGGTCATCCATTCACCTACTCTGCGTCTCACAAAGACACGGCAGTTGGAACCCAAAATATCACATTTGGATTCCAGACCAAAGGACAAATTTCCACCGGTCTAACGTCCATTGCTCGTGTTTCTTGGCCCAAGCAGGTCACTTCTTCTTATTGGTGTCGTTTAGTAGTGGTTTCTTTGCAGCAATTCGATCATGAAAGCCTGATTCACACGGTCTCCTCTGAACAGCTGATGTTGAGATGTGTCTGTTACTTGAACTCTGTGAAGCATTTATTTATGCTGCTATTTCTGAGGCTGATAATTCCAATGAATTTATCCTCTGCAGCAGAGGTAATTCTGGGTCTTCCTCTCCTTTGGCGGTCCTCATGAGAGCCAGTTTCATCATAGCACTTGATTTTTTTTGCGACTGCACTTGAAGAAAGTTATTTCCAGATTGACTGACCTTCATATCTTAAAGTAATGATGGACTGTCGTTTCTCTTTGCTTTTTTGAGCTGTTCTTGCCATAATATGGACTTTGTATTTTACCAAATAGGGCTATCTTCTGTATACCACCCCTACCTTGTCGCAACACAACTGATTGGCTCAAACACATTAAGAAGGAAAGAAATTCCACAGATTAACCTTTTACAAGGCACACCTGTTAATAGAAATGCATTCCAGGTAACTACCTCATGAAGCTGGTTGAGAGAATGTCAAAAGTGTGCAAAGCTGTCATCAAGGCAAAGGGTGGCTACCTTGAAGAATCTCAAATATAAAATATGTTTTGATTTGTTTAACACTTTTTTTGGTTACTACATGATTCCATATGTGTTATTTCATAGTGTTGACGTCTTCACTATTATTCTACAATGTAGAAAGTAGTAAAAATCAAGAAAAACCCTTGAATGAGGAGGTGTGTCCAAACTTTTGACTGGTACTGTATATATATATATATATATATATATATATATATATATATATATATATATATATATATATATATATACCTACAGTGAGGGAAAAAAGTATTTTAGCCCCTGCTGATTTTGTACGTTTGCCCACTGACAAAGACATGATCAGTCTATAATTTCAATGGTAGGTTTATTTGAACAGTGAGAGACAGAATAACAACAAAAATATCCAGAAAAACGCATGTCAAAAATGTTATAAATTGATTTGCATTTTAATGAGGGAAATAAGTATTTGACCCCTCTGCAAAACATGACTTAGTACTTGGTGGCAAAACCCTTGTTGGCAATCACAGAGGTCAGACGTTTCTTGTAGTTGGCCACCAGGTTTGCACACATCTCAGGAGGGATTTTGTCCCACTCCTCTTTGCAGATCTTCTCCAAGTCATTAAGGTTCGAGCCTGACGTTTGGCAACTCAAACCTTCAGCTCCCTCCACAGATTTTCTATGGATTAAGGTCTGGAGACTGGCTAGGCCACTCCAGGACCTTAATGTGCTTCTTCTTTAGCCACTCCTTTGTTGCCTTGGCCGTGTGTTTTGGGTCATTGTCATGCTGGAATACCCACCCACGACCCATTTTCAATGCCCTGGCTGAGGGAAGGAGGTTCTCACCCAAGACATGGCCCCGTCCATCGTCCCTTTGATGCGGTGAAGTTGTCCTGTCCCCTTAGCAGAAAAACACCCCCAAAGCATAATGTTTCCACCTCCATGTTTGACGGTGGGGATGGTGTTCTTGGGGTCATAGGCAGCATTCCTCCTCCTCCAAACACGGCGAGTTGAGTTGATGCCAAAGAGCTCCATTTTGGTCTCATCTGACCACAAGACTTTCACCCAGTTCTCCTCTGAATCATTCAGATGTTCATTGGCAAACTTCAGACGGGCCTGTATATGTGCTTTCTTGAGCAGGGGGACCTTGCTGACGCTGCAGGATTTCAGTCCTTCACGGCGTAGTGTGTTACCAATTGTTTTCTTGGTGACTATGGTCCCAGCTGCCTAGAGATCATTGACAAGATCCTCCCGTGTAGTTCTGGGCTGGTTCCTCACCGTTCTCATGATCATTGCAACTCCACGAGGTGAGATCTTGCATGGAGCCCCAGGCCGAGGGAGATTGACATTTATTTTGTGTTTCTTCCATTTGCGAATAATCGCACCTACTGTTGTCACCTTCTCACCAAGCTGCTTGGCGATGGTCTTGTAGCCCATTCCAGCCTTGTGTAGGTCTACAATCTTGTCCCTGACATCCTTGGAGAGCTCTTTGGTCTTGGCCATGGTGGAGAGTTTGGAATCTGATTGATTGCTTCTGTGGACAGGTGTCTTTTATACAAGTAACAAACTGAGATTAGGAGCACTCCCTTTAAGAGTGTGCTCCTAATCTCAGCTCGTTACCTGTATAAAAGACACCTGGGAGCCAGAAATCTTTCTGATTGAGAGGGGGTCAAATACTTATTTCCCTCATTAAAATGCAAATCAATTTATAACATTTTTGACACGTTTTTCTGGATTTTTTTGTTGTTATTCTGTCTCTCATTTTAAAATAAACCTACCATTAAAATTATAGACTGATCATTTCTTTGTCAGTGGGCAAACGTACAAAATCAGCAGGGGATCAAATACTTTTTTCCCTCACTGTATATATATACATATAATTTTTTTATATGTTTTCCTTTATTATTTTCCACTAATTGTACCACCCTTCCCCTAATTGGAGTAAACTAATGAACAACAACACTTAGGCTTCTACTTCCAGTTTATGCATGCTATTTACATTTTACGGACACAATCTATTTTTAAATAGTTATATTTTGTTTGTTTTTAGTGCTGTTCTTCCTCTTCCCTCAACCCATCTATTTCTGATGTCCATCCAGTTTGATTTCTATTTGCCATATATTTTTAACTGTGCTGTTTCACAAAAGTTCTGAACCTATATACATTTTACGGACACAGTATATTTTACATGAGTTATCTTGTCGTTATTAGTCCCATCCTTCAGTTCCATTCAACCCCTCCCATCTTTTTCTTAACACCATCCATATTGGATTTCTATTTGCCATATATACATTTGTGATGTTTCACAAAAGTTCTGAACCTTTCTATTCTCATAGTTTCTACAGATTGTAAATTAAAGATACACATTTTAGCTAAAAGTAATAATATATTATTGATCGATTGACTATGACTTTTCAGATCACCCAGTAGTGCTATCTGCAGGGTTAGCTCCAGGTAAATGTTTCAATTCATCAGCCATTCCTGGACCTGTGACCAAAAACAAGCTACATATGGACAGTACCAAAATAAATGATCTAATGACTCTGTCTCTTCGCAGCTGTCAGCAACAGGTGTGGCTGAAATAGCCAAATCCACTAATTTGAAAGGGTGCCCACATACTTTTGTATATATAGTGTATTTTGTAGTATTACACTATCATCTTCTCAACTGCAGGGACAGAGTGCTAAGCTACCAAATTATAATTGTTACTTATTGTATAACCCCGCCCCCAGGCTAATAGCAGTGTCTGGGAACCAGATGACTTATGTTATGCTATCTGGCCCGAGGAATTAGAGCTGGGATATGCATTGGAAATCAAACACTTGTTGTAAGCTTTTGCAAGGTAATGATCCGTGTATTTTCGACCCTCTCTTTTTTTCCAGCCACTAAGTGTGATGGCCCCAGGAAGTTTATGTGCAAGAATGGAGAGTGTATCGACAGCAGCAAGGTGTGTGATGCCGTCAAAGACTGCAAGGATTGGTCAGACGAACCTATGAAGGAGTGCGGTAAGACAGACACACACACACGCATGCATCCACGCACGCCGGCACACACCCAACCCATACACACACCTATTAGGATCCACTTGATCCAGATGGTCACTCTGTTTGTAATCGGAGCTTCATTTTATCTAGGGGGAATAAATCAGGACAATTCTCAGCTCGCTCGTTACCGTCAAAGACCAACTCTTCCCCCGAGTGTGTCCACGGCAAGGAAACATGCTCAGACTACATTACCCATAAGGCACCATATGGATTAGCGCTCCACCATAGATAATACACAAGCAATTTTGTTTTGGCAATATTGCTGAAGAAAATTGCTGGCAACGGAGAGGGGTATGAGACACTGGAGAAATTATGAGCAATGAGCAACATGGACTTGAATAATAGATGTCATATGAAGCATAGATCTTTAAAACGGAATTTCACCATTAATTTACTAATCAACTATAACTTGTTATTGCCAGTTGACTGCCACAGCTGTACTGAAATTCATCAGCTAACAAACAAGCAATCAGGAGGTGTTACCCCTGCTCTGTCCATCCACTCAACCTGCTGCCAGTCAAGTCAATGGCAATGCAGACGTGAAGATAACTAGATTTAGCAAACTTCATTATCATAAGCTAGAAAGATGGTGCGTGCATATGCATTCACCCCCTTTGCTACGAAGCCCCTAAATAAGATCTGGTGCAACCAATTACCTTCAGAAGTCACATAATTAGTTAAATAAAGTCCACCTGTGTGCAATCTAAGTGTCACATGATCTGTCACATGATCTCAGTATATATACACCTGTTCTGAAAGGCCCCAGAGTCTGCAACACCACTAAGCAAGGGGCACCACCAAGCAAGTGGCACCATGAAGACCAAGGAGGTCTCCAAACAGGTCAGGGACAAAGTTGTGGAGAAGTACAGATCAGGGTAGGGTTATAAAAAAATATCAGAAACTTTGAACATCCCACGGAGCACCATTAAATCCATTATAAAAAAAATTGAAAGAATATGGCACCACAACAAACCTGCCAAGAGAGGGCCGCCCACCAAAACTCACGGACCAGGCAAGGAGGGCATTAATCAGAGAGGCAACAAAGAGACCAAAGATAACCCTGAAGGAGCTGCAAAGCTCCACAGTGGAGATTGGAGTATCTGTCAATAGGACCACTTTAAGCCGTACACTCCACAGAGCTGGGCTTTACGGAAGAGTGGCCAGAAAAAAGCCATTGCCTAAAGAAAGAAATAAGCAAACATGTTTGGTGTTCGCCAAAAGCCATGTGGTAGACTCCCCAAACATATGGAAGAAGGTACTCTGGTCAGATGAGACTAAAATTGAGCTTTTTGGCCATCAAGGAAAACGCTATGTCTGGCGCAAACCCAACACCTCTCTGATTAATGCCCTCCTTGCCTGGTCCGTGAGTTTTGGTGGGCGGCCCTCTCTTGGCAGGTTTGTTGTGGTGCCATATTAATTCCATTTTATAATAATGGATTTAATGGTGCTCTGTGGGATGTTCAAAGTTTCTGATATTTTTTTATAACCCTACCATGATCTGTACTTTGCCACAACTTTGTCCCTGACCTGTTTGGAGAGCTCCTTGGTCTTCATGGTGCCGCTTGCTTGGTGGTGCCCCTTGCTTAGTGGTGTTGCAGACTCTGGGGCCTTTCAGAACAGGTGTAGATATACTGAGATCATGTGACTGATCATGTGACACTTAGATTGCACACAGGTGGACTTTATTTAACTAATTATGTGACTTCTGAAGGTAATTGGTTACTCCAGATCTTATTTAGGGGCTTCGTAGCAAAGGGGGTGAATAGATATGCACACACCACTTTTCCGTTATTAATTTTTGTAAGTTATTTTTTTCATTTCACTTTTTTCATTTCACTCACAAATCCATTTAAATTACAGGTTGTGATGCAACAAAATAGGACGACATGGTGCTTCCAAATAAAAATTATTTAGGAACATAGACCCCCAAAATGGTAGCACTGTAAATCCCTTCTTATGGGAGGGAGGGAGGGAGGGTGACGGGGAGACAGGAAAATAGTGGGATAAAGTGATATAAGGAAGGATGGAGATAGGTAGAGAGAGAAAGAGGAGGGGAGGGAGGGTAAGGGAGGATGGATACTGAAAGGGGAACATAATGAAAGAGAGGGAAGGTAAGGAGGAGGGATGGATAAAGGGATGGATAGAGCTACCTGTATGAAGGGGAAGAAGAGGGGCGGAGCGAGGGATAAGGAGGAGGAATGGATAAAAGGATAGGAAGGTAAGGAGTAGGGATGGATAAAGGAAGGTAAGGAGTAGGGATGGAGAGATGGATAGGAGTAGGGATGGATAAAGGAAGGTAAGGAGTAGGGATGGAGAGATAGAGGGATAGGAGTAGGGATGGATAAAGGAAGGTAAGGAGTAGAGATGGAGAGATGGAGGGATAGGAGTAGGGATGGATAAAGGAAGGTAAGGAGTTGGGATGGATAGATGGATAGGAGTAGGGATGGATAAAGGAAGGTAAGGAGTTGGGATGGATAGAGGGATAGGAGTAGGGATGGATAAAGGAAGGTAAGGAGTTGGGATGGATAGAGGGATAGGAGGAGGGATGATAGAGGGATAGGAGGAGTGATGATAGAGGGATAGGAGGAGTGATGATAGAGGGATAGGAGGAGGGATGGATAGAGGGATAGGAGGAGGGATGGATAGAGGATAGGAGGAGTGATGATAGAGGGATAGGAGGAGGGATGGATAGAGGGATAGGAGGAGTGATGATAGAGGGATAGGAGGAGTGATGATAGAGGAATAGGAGGAGTGATGATAGAGGGATAGGAGGAGTGATGATAGAGGGATAAGAGGAGGGATGGATAGAGGGATAGGAGGAGGGGGAGGGATGAATGGATAGAGGGATAAGGGGAGGAAAGCTGCTTCCCAAAGGAAATCAGATTAGAGAGGGGCACCTGGTGCGAAGCCACCCCCTTCTGAGCCCCAGTGCATTCTGGAACGGTTCCAGGTGTCTGATAGCATCACATTCCCCTAGAGGCGACCCCAGACACACACACACACACACATAGACCAATATCTTGGTTGTTTTATTTATGTTTCACTCCCCTCCCTCCCTTCCTCTATTTCTCCTTTCATCCCTCTCTTTCTAGGTGTGAATGAGTGTGCAGACAACAATGGAGGCTGCTCTCACATCTGCAGAGACCGGAGGATCGGCTATGAGTGTGACTGTCCCTCTGGTTACAAACTAATAGACAAGAAGACCTGTGGAGGTAGAGTCCCATACAATATGTCCCTCTCAGCCAAGCCTTACCAATGATTGCGCTCTCTGGAAATTGCTCTCTCAATCTCCCACGTCATTCTCTTCTCATACTCTCTCTTTCCAAACAGTAGCTACTTACAGTAAATGTCCCAGATATCTCTACTCTGCTGTCCATCCCCTTGTTCAGTGTAATTGATGTGTTTCTGATATCCCTCCTCAGACATAGATGAGTGTGAGAACCCTGGGGCCTGCAGCCAGATCTGCATCAACTACAAAGGAGACTACAAGTGTGAATGTTACGAGGGCTATGAGATGGACCCCAACACCAAGACCTGCAAGGCCGTGGGTGAGTGAGACAGCCCATAGTGTCCCTGGCAACCACAGAAGAAACATAGACACACATACATTCACACAAGCATGCACACGCACACGCACACACACACACAACCCAGCAACATCACAGTCTGTTCTCAGCCCATCCAATATGAAAGGAGTTTCTTTGTATGCAGGTCTAGCACACCACAGCAATCTGCGGTCGGTAAGGCAAATATTTGCCGTTTGCTTCTCTGGGTGGTAATTTAAAACTCTCCCTTGCTAGGGGGGCCTGTCAGGGCACTGTAGGACACAGACAGGTATTGTCCCTCACCGTGCCCCACTGTAAACACTCGAGCCTGGGCATGAATAGAAATCTATGCCCTAGTCTTAACTTTGGGCCCTCTCTCAGACTCAGATTGTAGAGAAAGACATGGTCTGTGATTAGCATCATCATTCTTAGGTTAGATCATTACGTGGTAAACTGGCGTGGTAATGATGGGAATTAAGTAGGAACTGGCTCGGCTTTGCTCTAAGTGGCGTGGAAAATGCCATTGATTACCTTCCATCCGAGAACGCACGTCTTTATTACTGTTAGAGTGAGCAAATACACGCTGTCAGAAAGCTGGGGCGGTTTATTGTTAGAGCGGAGTGGAGGGGGAGGTGGACGTTGATGTCTGTGTGTTATTATAATAGTTCCTTGTAGGGCTGTGACGGTCATTGAATAACCGCCAAACTGACGGTTATGGATGAAGGCCGTCATGAAAATAAAATAACCGTCAAAACCGTTTAAATAGGCATACATTCATTTTTGGAAAAACATTATTATTATTATTATATATTTTTTATTTGTACCCCCTTTTTCTCCCCAATTTCGTGATATCAAAGTGGTAGTTACAGGCGAAGGTCGAGAGCCATGCGTCCTCCAAAACACGACCCCGCCAAGCTTCTTGACACATTGCTCGCTTAACCCGGAAGCCAGCCGCGCCAATGTGTCGGAGGAAACACTGTACAGCTGGCGACCCAAGTCAGCGTGCATGCAACCGGCCCGCCACAAGGAGTCGCTAGAGCGCGATGGGACAGGGACATCCCGGCCGGCCAAACCCTCCCCTAACCCAGACGATGCTGGGCCAATTGTGCGCCGCCTCATGGGTCTCCCGGTTGCGGCCGGCTGCGACACAGCCTGGGATCGAACCTGGGTCTATAGTGACGCCTCTAGCACTGCGATGCAGTGCCTTAGACTGCTGCGCATCTCGGGAGGCACTTTCATTAACGTTATTTTCATGTAGATAAACTTTACCTAATAGCAGGAGTGTTCACTAATGATTATAAGCAATTGTTTGACTAACTTAGTCTGTCTGTTAAACGGTCTACGTCTCCTCTTTCCAATTGTCGTTTGATGCTCCAGCAGCTAAACCGCTAGATGCGTGGGGGTGTAGAAGCGCTAGCCTATAGGCTATGGCACTTCAGGAAAGTAGTGAATGTTATTACCTCTAAGTCGAAGCTCTCATCCACTACAAGACCATGGTACTTGCCTACGGAGCAGCAAGAGGAACTGCCCCTCCCTACCTTTAGGCTCTGTAGAAAAACCCTACACCCTAACCTGAGTACTCTGTGCTGCCACCTCTGGCCTCTTGGTTTGATGTGTGACTTTCTTTTATACAATGCTTGTTTTCATTGTTTGCTAGTAAATAAATAGGTGTTCTTTTAAAAAAGGTTGGATGTGTCTGACTATTCATTAATTATTCAACAGTCGACAACGTTCTTCTGGCTCTGAGGCCTATAATGAGCTAATGTCTCCAACCAGGCATGGTATAGTTTGATACAAAATCTTTTACTGATTTATAGACTAATCAACAATGATAAAGGTTATGGACATGTTACTATCGCATAGCTGTCGCTCTCCCCTCTTCGGAAAGCCTAAGGTGGCCTAGGTTTTTTTATACGTTTTAAGGAAAGGATAAATATTTGCTCTTGTCTCTGACATTCTCTGGTGGCTTTGATTGATGGTTAATTTTACGGGGGTATGAGTTCGCTGATTCTCTCAATAGGGCTATAGAGTATGTCCATTCAGAACGTTTCCTAAAGTAGCCTGTCTGGACATCTCTTTAATAAGAATCAAACGCTCCTGTCATTTCATCTTGTAAAAGGCCTATTTTCAGTTGCTTAGGCTGCATTATTTCTCTCATTACGTCGTCCTCTCGCCATCGAATGACCGCAGCAGCAGCGTTTGTGACGTTATGCGGATATTTCGGGGAAAAGTGGGAGAAAACCCATCAGACTAGGATGAATGGATTTTTGCTTCCAAATAGGATCAGTATTTAATTATTTTATATGCAGAAAAGCCAACAGACAAGACAAGGTAGGCATATACATTTTTATATTTTAAATGATAGTCAATTAACAGACGCTATTATCCAGAGCGACTTACAATTAGTGCATTCATCTTAAGATAGCTAGCTGGGACAACCACATATCAGTCATTGTAAGTTCATTTCTCCTCAATAAAGTATGTATCAGCAAAGTCAGAGCTAGTAAGGGGGAAAAGAGGCAAGTGCAGGGGGAAGCTGTTTCCACTATTGTGGTGTCAGGAGTGGGCTGAGCGGGAGTTGCGTTCCCGTAGGGGTGGGAGGGCCAAGAGGCCAGAGGTGGCATAATGGAGTACTCAGGTTAGGGTGTAGGGTTTTTCTGCAGAGCCTTAAGGTAGGGAGGGGCAGTTCCTCTTGCTGCTCCGTAGGCAAGAACCATGGTCTTGTAGTGGATGAGAGCTTCGACTGGAAGCCAGTGGAGTGTGCAGGGGAGCAGGGTGACATGGGAGTATTTGGGAAGGTTGAACACCAGGTGGGCTGCATATATCTTTATTTTGACTCCATCAATGTGACAGATCCTCTCCAACCTGGCATTTCTTAATTTGTAGATATAATTTGTAGTGGCTTTGCCACTAGAGATCCTGGTTCGAATCCAGGCTCTGTCGTAGCCGGCAGCGACCGGGAGACCCATGGGGCGGCGCACAATTGGCCCAGCGTCGTCCAGGGTAGGGGAGGGAATGGCCGGCATGGATGTAGCTCAGTTGGTAGAGCATGGTGTTTGCAACGCCAGGGTTGTGGGTTTGATTTCCACGGGGGACGGTATGCACTCACTAACTGTAAGTCGCTCTGGATAAGAGCGTCTGCTAAATGACAAAAATATAGATGTAATATTTATAAGTGATAACCTGAATAAGAATAATGAAATGCCATGATAATTTTCGAAGTGTAATGGCTTGTTTCAAATAGGTTTTTATTAAGAAGCATATCCATGTAAACAAGTGCACAAACAGAAACCCCTTTCCACATTGGGCCTTATAGGCCTAAGACAACAGTTACATACATTTAAACAAAATGGACACATCAAAAACAATATTAAACATAAAGGAAAAATAAAATAAAAGGAAAGGAAAAACCACTAACAAAATGTAATTCAATAGTGAAATGTGACAATCCTCTCCAATCTGACATTTCTTAATTTGTATACTAGACTAATATTTAGAGGTAATAACTTGAATAATAATAAAATGCTACTGATAATAACAAAGTGTAATGGTAATAGTGAAGATGCAGAGAAAAACCTGCCACCCACATACACTCACACACACACATTCATTTATATTTATTTATTTCACCTTTATTTAACCAGGTAAGCCAGTTGAGAACAATTTCTCATTTACAACTGCGACCTGGCCAAGATAAAGCAAAGCAGTGCGATAAAAACAACAACACAGAGTTACATATGGGGTAAAACAAAACATAAAGTCAAAAATACAACAGAAAATCTATATACAGTGTGTGCAAATGTAGCAAGTTATGGAGGTAAGGCAATACATAGGCCATAGTGCAAAATAATTACAATTATTACAATTAACAGACACACAACCTCATACGTTCTCAACGATGCACACACTCATGCCAATTTACAGATAACACACACATGCTCACAACCACTCACAGAAGCTGACAGCTGAAGTGACGATGTCGTTAAGCACATCACACTGAGCTGGAAACTTCAGGCTTTATTTGTGTTCTGGCCTGAAGGCACAAAGCCGTGTTCAGGGAACACAATACCATCATCACCCTTCATCCAAGCATACACAAATTCAAGGACATCGGCCCATTATTACAGCTTTTTATTCAAACACTTTGAACTTTCTACTGCTCACTGGAAATGCCTGAATATATTCTTAACTTGGAAGGCCCTTGGAGGCTGGATAGAGAAAGCATTATAAGAATACTTATTTGACTTACTTTCTGAAGTGTTTTGCTAGTTTTAATCTTAGCTACCACACATATTGATTTAGACAAAAGTATCCCATGTGTCTCTTCAGTTAATATGAACAGTGTGTTAGCTAATTAAAACTACAACTCCCAGGTTGGTGTCACGTTAGGTTCACATGTTGAGCTGAACAGCTTTCTCCAGTTCTCCTACAAGACAATTCAGCAAGTTGATTCCCACAAGTCATTTCACCACACTAGTTTCATTTGATTGTTATTTTGTTTACCCTGGGTGCAATATCACTCAATAACAGTTAATTACTAACTATGTTTCCTTTGTGCATTCATGCATTTGTGTGTGCCTATGTCTGCAATTGTACTGCAGCATTCACTGCAGCACAAACCATCCGTTGTGAGAGTGTGATTTAAAGGAGTCAGGCGCAGGAGGGTAAATCACAGAATACAGAGTTTATTCCGTAGTACACAGTTACGCTGGATAGCGTCAACAGGCGCACTAGAACAAATACAGGCACATGGGGAAAATATACCCCGGCAATACAAAGTACAGGTAGCTCCACCGAGCTACACTCATCTCACATGAAACAATCACCAACAAGGACAAGGGGGTAGAGGGAACACTTATACATGTACTAATGAGGGGAATATGAACCAGGTGTGTGTAATTGACAAGACAAGACAAATGGAATGATGAGATATGGAGCGGCAGTGGCTAGAAGGCCGGTGACGACGAACGCTGAAGCCTGCCCGAACAAGGAGGGGAGGCAGCTTCAGAGGAAGTCATGACAGTACCCCCCCCTTGACGCGCAGCTCCAGCAGCGCGCCAACCCTGGCCTCGGGGACGGCCAAGAGGACGCGGAGCAGGGCGAGCCGGATGGCGACGGTGGAAATCCCGCAACAGGGAGGGATCGAGGATATCCCTCACCGGGACCCAGCACCGTTCCTCCGGACCGTACCCCTCCCAATCCACGAGGTACTGAAGGACCCCCACCTGACGCCTCGAATCCAGGATGGAATGGACGAAGTACGCCGGGGCCCCCTCGAAGTCCAGAGGAGGCGGACGGACCTCCAGCACCTCAGACTCCTGGAGCGGACCAGCCACCACCGGCCTGAGGAGAGACACATGAAACGAGGGGTTAATACAGTAATCAGGGGGGAGTAATAACCTATAGGTAACCTCGTTGATTCTCATCAGAAATTTGAACAGCCCCACAAACCGTGGGTTCAGCTTCCGGCAGGGCAGGCGGAGGGGCAGATTCCGGGTCGAGAGCCAGACCCGATCACCCGGTACGAAGACCGGGGCCTCACTGCGGTGGCGGTCAGCGTTGGCCTTCTGACGATGCACAGCGCATTGGAGGTGGACGTGTGCAGCGTCCCACGTCTCCTCCGCACGCCGAAACCAGTCATCCACCGCAGGAGCCTCGGTTTGGCTCTGGTGCCACGGTG